TGTGGACCACAATAATGACTTTGTTAAGAAGGCTGACAGTTTCGATAACAGCAGCAGCAACACCAGCAACGACAAGAAAAAGGTAAAAGCCGTCAGTATGACGCTGATGACCATTTGTTTGGTTTATTTTCATCTGCTGCAACAGCAACGGCCGCAGCATCTTTCCAAGCCCAGATTGGCAATTTAAATGGTGAAAGAACCGGTTTGTATCCACACACACAGACAAGAAGAAATTTTCAATGCCCCGACGAGCGACAGATAGCCGATGTTTATTCAAGCTGTTGTTATTAATACACGTAAAAACAGACGATGTGATAATGAGGTTGGTAGGTTGTGGTTTCGTTGTACGGTCGTGCGGAATATTTCCATGTTACCTGCATTGATTTTACAAATGTTACAGTTATTTTTGAATATTAACGTGGATGTTTTGTAAAAACTGATTTAATTTTTTGTGGTAGCAGATTATCATCATAATAAGCGTAAACAAAATAAAATACATTAGGATGTAACAAAAATATTTTTGTGACATAAAAGTATTTCTAATTGCAAAATTTTTATTTTTGGTCATTTTGGTGTAAAATTAGTACGTATTATACATTTATATGTTTGTAACATACAAAAGGAAACGAGACAGACTCATAGTTACTTTTGAGGATATAGGTACATAGAATTACTTTATGAGTCGGCTTGTGCATGTCCGCCATTTGTCTTTCCATATGTTTTTGCAAACAAAATGCGAATCGCATTTATTTTCCGAAATTGACTCACAGTTTAAAATTTCGTCTCAATTGAATATAATTTTTGTATTTAGTGCATAACATGTATAAAATCCGACAAAAGATAATTAATCCACTTTGGGTACATTTAACAGATGCGTCTTAACAGAACTCGCATTTTTGAAGGACCATTAAAATGAAATTGGATGATCTAAAATATCTTTTCCTAAATGGGAACCGAGATCAATTCATAAACATGCCATTCTGCAACCATTTTAAACAATTGTGTAAATCGATTAAAAGAAATCCTTAATCGGACACCCATTGATTATTTAGAGCACAATTAACATGAAGTCGGTCACAAATAAATATGGGCTATGTCTGCATTTCTACAATACGCAATTGCGTCATTCTATGCTAAATGTTGTACGTTGTGCAAAATTTTGCAGCAATCGGCCTAACTTTGGTACACCATTTACTTAAAATCGGACGAAAATAAATTGGAAGCTATATCTAAATCTAAACCGATTTTAACGAAACTTGCCGCAGGTTAGGTTATAATAACTTCAGTATGTTTTGGCCTATCGGTCATATTTTGGGTCCTTGGTGCATCATTTATTGAAATCGGACGAAAATATATATGGGAGATATATATAAATCTGAAGGGTTTCAACGAAGCTTTCCACATGTTAGCCTATAATAACATTAGAAAGTTCTGCAAAATTGTGTGTCATGTATATTATAAGGCTTTGGCGCACTTTTTACTTAAAATCGGACGAAAATATATATGGAAGGTATATATAAATCTAAACCGATTTTAACAAAACTTGACGCACATTAGGCTATACTAACTTCAGTACATGGTGCAGAATTTTGTAGCAATTGGCCTAACATTCGGTCTTTGGTGCACCATTAAGTTAATAGGATGAATCTATATATGGGAGCTATATCTAAATCTGAACCGATTTCATTATATCTAAATTTTAACCGATTTTCTCCAATTTCAATAGGGTCAAATAACTGACTTGTGCCAAGTTTCATCCAAATCGGATCATAAATGCGACCTGTACTTTAATGCCGAATAATGGGTGTACAGTTACATGGGGGATATCTTAAAAAGTGAACAAATATTGATTATTTTTGCTAGAAAAATTGCTACTGAATGAGAATTAAAAATTCGGTTGAAAACCCTGTCCAAGCTCACTAAAATACCCAATATGGAGGAGATGTACCGTTATGTGGCGACAATATTAAAATTGGAACCAATAATAATAATAATGATTTTTGGTAGAAAGATGTACTACCAAATGAGGATTCAAAATACTAAATTATAACCGGTTGAAAAACCTCAAAAGCGGATCGATATCGATAATTTTTGAAAGAAAATTTACTACCAAATGTGAACGATTAAAAAACGTGTCCAAACTTCCCAAATACCCAAAATAAAATTGGACCGATATCGAATTTCAAAGCTCTATCTTATATATAGCGAACTCTATCGTAATTTCGAAGATGGACGGACAGACAGACGAACATTCATAAGTCATGCTTGGTCAAGAATATTTATACTACGAATCTTTGGGGGTGTTGCGAGCATGAGTAAACATCTCCTACAAGTGTGATGTCTTGGCATCTGTAGTCGAGGCTATCGCTACAAACACGCATCAAATGGACGCAAATGGATCTGAGTTAAGGGACCACAGGAGAAGAGCAATCATAATCTAACCTTTCGATACAGGTGGGGACTCAAACTCGAATTCCGAGTCTTAATTCGAGGATAACACTAACAAAACCATCTTAGAATGCTGGAGAAGCGAAGAGTCTGGCAAGATGGTGGAGAAAGTAAGCAATGATGTCATCATGTTCACATCAAGAAAGAAGCATTATATGGGGCTCAAAGGCGAAAACTGGCCAGGACTAGAGGAATAAGAGCGAACAGTAAATTAATGCTCAGAAAGATAAGCCTGTTTTTCCCTCCAATTCTTCGGAAGCGAAAAAGTGGATTAGATCTTCGGAAGAGAAGGCGAACGCAAAAACCCTCAAAGATGAAAAATAACTTCTAGTCGGCAGATATAAACAGAAGATAGAAGTAGCCAAGCCGAACTCAAAGAGGACTGTCGAAAATCTACCAACGGAGGGCGGCGGAGCTGGCTTCAATATCAAGAAAATGAGTGCTGCTTCGGAATTTAAAGACCGATAATTCCAAAAGAACTAACCGGTTTCAAGGAGGCGATATAGTGTCGTACTCTGCTATGCACTGTTCGACGATAATAGTGGGTCCGCCAAACTAAGAAAAAACAAGACCCATAAGGGAGTGAATGATTCTGCTGCAAGAGGGCCCCATTGATCTGCCAGCTACAGTTTCATGGGGGACTATCTAATGCTATAGTTTGAGTCATCAAACATGAGAAAAATAGTACCAAGTATTGCATCTATAAGCGAGACAATTAAATATAATCTGGCGAGGAAAATTACAATCCTCAACTACAAAAGGAAACGGCCTTCGCCAGTGCTTGAGGCAGCGAGTTCACCACAGAATTTTTGGTCCGCAAAACAAGATGATTCTGGTGAAGAATTGGGAAATCTTCCACAGGGTCTAGAACTACCACCCTAGTGGTAGGCTTGGACAAGTCTTCAATGGCATGATTGGCTAAGACTAAGGACAATGTGCACTATGTGTTCAATGCTGTCTACTTCAATATTGGCAAGTGAAATATTGGAAAGGTGGAAACCAGGGAACCGAGGAGAAAATTAGCGATTCCCGAGGAGATCGTTTTTGGCTGTCAATTGATTGGGGCCATTCAGATAAACCTTCATCGGAGTGAGACGGCAATAATGGTTCTGATGAAAAAAATTAATCAAAGGTAATATACACATCGCGCTAATCAAGGATCATGTTTCCGACAGAGTACCTGTATAATATGTCACAAAAATAATTGGTTTCACTTCTCCCCAGAGTTGTTAACATAGAACGCAACAATACTGAATCAGGGGAATGGTAACATTTACCTGACATCAGTTTATTGCAAATTACTTGCAAGTAAGCATAGTCCACAATAAAAGTCCTAACGGATTTAAGGAAGCTTGAATGCGCAGTTACGGAATAACAGTAGAGCTATTCCGTAGTCGTTTAACGACAAAATTGCCGACAATAGTCGAAAACTTGAAATTTTCATTTGCTTTTAATTTCGTTAATTGACCCATATAATTTCATTATATCAAAAGTCCTGTGGGTCGATTCACTATCAAATTTAAACAATTCTCAAATCGATAAAATATTATAACGACAAAATAAACAATATTTCAATTCTATAACAGCGTTTAACAACAATTGTTCAAAAATGTTGTTAATAAACAACACCAAAATATTCCAAGTTAACTTATCGACAAATATTTTTCAATATTGAACATGCCTTGTTTTGTTCTGAATTTGTTGTCAAAATGTTCAAAAATAAAAGCTTTTTGTAAGTGTTTCGACAATTTGTCTACATTTTTACAGAATAACATTTTCGTTACTGCAAACGATTTTATGTGTAGACAAAATTGTCGATTGTCGGATCGTTATAAGTTACTGAATCGACCTACTGACAGTACAATATAGTTCCTAGTTGAAAACTTGATAAATAAATGTCAGTAGACCTATGGTGTAAATCTTAGGAAATGTACCATCGAACGTGGCCCCAGTTTAGTAATTTCGTGTGCCCAGAGGATTTAGTCAGGCCGAACTTTTTCACTTGTTATTTTCTCTATTGAATTAAACCATAAACAGTTTATAACACTAATAAAATGGCATACAAATATTTCAAATATCTAAACCCATATTTTCTTTTTTATGGTAGAGAAACTCATGTTCAATTAACTTTTGTTAATTAATTTTTAGCTGCGGTTAAACATTGCAAATAGAGTCAATAACCTTAACTTTACACCAAAATAATAAAACAAAATTTATCTCTTTCTCCAATTTCTTTGACATTCAACATTAATTTATGCTGGGCGATTTGTGGCCGATAAGACATTTGACAAATGACTAGAAATTAAAAAAAAAATAAAACGATCACTAGCCAATCATCAACATATCTACAACTATTCCAAGAAAAACCAAAATGACATGAAAATCCCTTAGTCATCCCATTATTTAATGGTTATAAAGATCATATCTGGTGGATCAATTTGCAGAATTCTTAAAATCGAATAGAAATCAAATAAATCTCAGGCACTGAAATAGTTCAAAACGAATTATATAAAACCCAAATGCCCACACCTACAACACCATAGTCGGACAAAATGAGGCAAAGCATGAAAATAGTTGGTAAGTTGAAGAATTTCGATGGACTCTAAACAAAGACTAACATTTCTCTGCTTTCTCCAGTTTTTCTAGTGGCACTGATGGCCATATTGGCGCCAAGTGGGGCTTATGCCTCCAAAAAATCTTTGGCAAATTATGCCATGGCCCGTTCCATTGCCGAACCGAATGAAAACAATGGCCAATATATTGTCTACTCCCAAAATGATATGTATCAGAAGAAGGACAAACCCAAGGAACCCCAGATCACCGAAGATGACTTCGAGGAGGAACCCGAGGAAAAGGAGAATGACAACCGCAAAGTACCCGATTACCTATATCCCAGTGTCATACCCATGGCCTCCGATAATAATGTGAAAATTGTTATACCTCAAATGATTTATGGTCTGGAGAATCGTGGGGGTTATCATCAGGATAAGAAAATGTCCAACAATTATTACAACACAAATAATCCACAACGTCTATCGCTGCCAAACTCTAATTTACAATTTGGTTTAAATTTCAATGGCAATGCTGGTTTTGGCAAGGTACCCTCAACACACATGGAAAAAGAGGATGGACAACAAATGATGCCGCAGACAGCAATTTTACCCATTGTAATAGCTGGACAACCGGGACCACCAGGCCCACCTGGTCCTCCCGGTCCAGCAGGACCTCCTGGACCAATGGGCCGACCCGGTCCCATGGGAAGACAAGGTCATCAAGGACCACCCGGCCCACCTGGACCCCAAGGACCTCCAGCACAAAGTGGTAACTCTTATGCAACATTGGGGCAGACTACGGGATTATGGTATACCAATGGGAAACCCTTGATAACAATACCACAAAATAACTACAATAATGAGGAATAAAGGATTTTGAAAAAGAAAAGAACTGAAAATAATCCTTTTTAATTGGATGGGAAAGATAAGGGACACTGCAACCTACAGTCCCATGGAAAGACAGGGGCCATCAGGAATTCTTTGATGTGAGAACTAAATATCGGATTTTAATTTTATGATAAAGAGGAAAATATGCCGTTAATAATGAAAAACGATGGTAGGCAAATCGACATTGTACTGTCGGTGTACATCTTGTTGTAATTTAGTACATTGAGTTCTTATAGAATAGCAAATCTCTCCACTAAAAATTATGAATATAGGCCAATTTTTTCGGATAACACCCATAAAAGGGTAACCCCCAATTTTCGGTATTATGAGGTTCTTGAACGTCTTTTTCAACCGAATTCGCTGTAATTTGGTATTTTATAGTCGTATATGGTAACAAATATCCCTCCCATGTGACAAAATGTTCTCTTCCACTTCAGCTTTCCATCTAATTCGTGACCTTCATCTCCTGCGTGAGCCATCGGTAGGCTTGCTTTTATATGCCTTTTGTGCTGGGCCATCTTCATCCATTCTCACAACATTATCTAGCCAACGTAGTCGCTGCAGCTCGGTACGACTGACAATGCAGATGTCCGAGAGTAGATGGTACAATTCATGGTCCATTCGACCCCGATATTCACCGTCGACACAGATCGGCCCGTAGATCTTCCGGAGAATTTTTCACTCAAACACCCCAAGAGCTGCCTCATCTTCAGATCCACATAACAGCACGGGTAGTATCAGCTTCTTGTAGAGTGTGCTTTTGAGTTGCTCACTTATGGTGTTTTTACACGATATGTACTTTACATATGTGTTGTCACTTTATTTACATATGTAACTCGAACTCGTCATGTGAAACATACGGAAATTTCAATGTGTCAAAACGATATGCAATTACATATGTATTTTTTTCCGAATAGGGCGCGCTCTATTTTCCTATGTGAAACATAAGGAAATCAGCTGTTTGAATGAAACACATTGTTGGAAGAAAATATTTCAATTGCAAGCCAAAGAAAAAGATGAAAAGGCAACAATTACAAATTATTATTTCGCTTATAGGTGTTTAATAAAAAAATCATGTAGATTTAAGAAAAAAATAAAAGTGTTTTATTGTTTATAGGTTATGTCATATGTAAAATACATATGCCAATTTGAACACAACAAATAAATGTTTTGTGTATGCTGTAATTTTGACACACATAAGGAATTACATATGGATGAAATAAGTGACAGCACATATGTAAAATACATATCGTGTAAAAACACCATTAGACCATAGTAGCATCTGTTGGCCAACACTATCTTTCAAAACTGATGTCATTAGTTTTGTTTATGGCGGTACCAAGGTATATAAAATTGTTCACTACCTCGAAGGTGTAGTTTTCAAGTTCCACAGTTGGTCCCACTTTGGCAGACTCCTTCTTAATTCATTCAAAGGTGGATGTTACCGCTTGCAATGTTCGACTCATCATGTCGATGTCATTGCTGTAGGCGAGTAACATATGCCGTATGACCTTTTCCAGCAGGATGTTAAACAGGTCACCTTGTCTGAATTTTCGTTTGACTGCTGACCTTATGTCACTCAAAGTTATCCTGCATAGCCGTATTAATTTTGCAGGAATGCCCAACGTCTATGCACTTTATATGCAGTGGGAAGGAGACGTAATCCTCTATAGTTGGCACATATCGTCTTGTCTCTTTATATACCCTTCACCACACTGTGGTACAGGGTATTATGTTTTTGTGCATATGTTTGTAACAGGCAAAAGGAATCGAGATAGACACATCGTTCCTTTTGAGAATATGCATAGAATCACTTTCTGAGTCGATTTATGCATGTCCGTCCGTCTGTAGATGTTAAATTGTAAACAAAGTACAGGTCGCATTTATGATCCGAATTGGATGAAATTTAGCACAAGTCACTTATTCGACCCAAGGACAAACCCTATTGAAATTGGGAAAAAATCGGTTCAGATTTAGATATAGCTCCCATATATATGTTTGTCCGATATAGGCACCAAAGTACCTATATATCTTTTGGGCGAAATTTGGCATAGAGAACTGAATTAGGTTCAGAATGATGTGTGCCAAGTTTCGTGAAAATCGGTTCAGATTTAGATATAGCCCCCATGTATAGTTTTGTACGATTTTAGGTAAATGGTGCACCAAAGTCCCTATATATTAGGTCAAGAATGACGTGAAAATCTGTTCAGATTTAGATATAGCTCCCATATATAGTTTTGTCCGATTTTATGTAATTGGTGCACCAAAGATATTATATATCTCTCTATTTGCACGAAATTTGACATAGAGTACTGAATTAAGCCTGGAATGATGTGTGTTAAATTTCGAGAAAATCGGGTCAGATTTAGATATAGCTCACATATATATTTTCGGTAAATGGGGCACGAAAGTCCCCATATATCTTTCGATTTGGACGACATTTGGCATAGGGTACTGAAGTAGGTCCAGAATGATGTGCGCTAAGTTTCGTGAAAATCGGTTCAGATACAGCTGGTGCATGCTCCTGACTAGCATCACCGCCACTATTTGATTCCAGAAGCTTTTCAAAATTTAGCGGAGTAGGCTTCTGATTTGTTTCCAGCTTTTCAACGCCGAGTTTCCGTATTGTATTCGATCGCACCCTTGCTGCTACATTAAGACGAGTGCGAACCTTGGCTGATACAAGGTAGTGATCCGAATCGATATTCGCTCCTCGGATCGATCGAACGTCTTTAAATTTCTTTCGATTTACATGAAATTTTGCAGTGCGTACTGAATTAGTACTAGAATGGTGTGTGCTAAGTTTCGTGAAAATCGAGTTTAGAATGATGTGTGTTAAGGTATGTTAAAATCGGTTGAGATTTAGATATAACTACCATCAATATTTTAGTCTGAGTATATGTAAATGGTGAACTGAAGATATTTTTTCTCCCATATACAAGAAATTTGAAATGAAATGCGTGTAGAATGACGAGTGTTAGGCCTTTTGAAATCTGTTTAAAACCACGTGTATTAGGTTTTGTAAAATATGTTCAGATGAATATCTTCGTCTAAGTTCTTGCAAATTGTACTCTGATCGAGAGCCAACTGTGCTACTAAGTGGCTCCCATAGATAATTATTCTCGATATTATACAAATGGTACGCAAAAGAACAAAAGTCTTCCTGATTCACATGCAATTTTTAATTTGGTTCAAATATCTATATGTCTCACATATCTAATCTCGTACGATTTCATTCTTTTCTATCTACAGGATATTGCGTTGTATCCAAGTATGTACCCAAAGGGGTTTAGTTAATATTTAAATAATTAAGAAATAAAACGCATTAATTTGTTGTTATTACTTTATTTACTTCCATTCCATATCAATAGTTCGTATCGTTTTTTACAATTCATCATCATATTCATCTTCAGCTTCGATAAACGAAAACATACTTCGAGCCGATGTACCAGCTGGCCCTGGTGGTCCAGGCGGACCCATTAAACCTGGTGGCCCGGGCTGGCCTGGTGGTCCACGGGCACCAGGAAAACCACGACGTCCTCTTAGCCCATGAGGTCCCTGCATACCATTCGGTCCATCACGTCCATCTGGACCCGGTGAACCTTGGGGTCCTTGTGTACCGGCTGGTCCAATGTCACCAGTTGGTCCTCTCGGTCCTTTGTTACCCATTGGTCCAGGCAGACCTGGTGGACCCGGCGGTCCAGGTGGTCCTTGTTGTGTATAGTATATTTGTGGTGGATTTCTTGGCCTGCGTTGCAATTCATCCGCAGCCAAGGAGAATCCCAAAAAGCCTTTTGGAAGAAATAGGATTTGTTATAGAAATTCTGAAATAGTTGTTTTTAAGAATATATTTACCTATGAGCAGCAGTGTAAGATGTCTCATTGTTGTAAGTGTACTAACCTCAATGGCTAAAGGGCAAGTGCATTTTATAGAAATTAGTTTCCTTTTGGTTAGAATGGATTGCATTTAAGTGCATTAAGGTGTTTGATGGACTTGTTTCACCATTGATTTATGAGGTTTAGAATTTTATGATGTCATTTACAACAAATTTATTGCTCTTGTTGTTTTTCTATGTTTTGTCATCTTAGAAGACTATAAAAATGTCAACTATTAACAACATTAACGCATCAGATACGACGAGTGTGGGTTGTTACTGTCATTGATTAGAAAAGTGTCGTATTTACACTGATTTTAACATTGTAGCGGAGTAATTAATATTGTTAGACAAATGAAAGAAATGAGAAAATTCAACAAGTGTTAAAAAATAAAAATCTTATTAAACTATTTTATGAAATTTTCTCCATACGTATATTTATGACTCCCTCGGATCGTGAATACTCTTGTGTCTTTTTGAGCGTATCGAAAACAAATGGTTGAGATCGAATTTTTGATCCAGACGATTCTATCGTCCATGATCCATTATTTGGATATCTTCAAGAGGTAACTATTTGAAGAACTGTACCATTTCAGCTCTGCACAAAATGCAACTAAGAAAGTTGGTTTTGTTGTTGGTACTGAGGATAGGGCAGATATATTGATCTTAAAACCAGTGAGCGGAGCAGTATAGTCGGACGGGGCCGACCATACGATACCCCACACAACTACCACGGAACTCTAACTTTCTGCCGACGTTTATTCTGAGCGTGGGCAATATTTCGTGATAATTGCACCCTCTTGCCCGATTAAAGATCGACAGCACCTCTTCCTTACACTGACATATTTACCGAATATTCCCAATTCCCATTCTTTGGCCCGATCCTCTTCTCCATGCAAAAACTCGCGGTGTTTGGGCCATAATTGCGGCCTCAGGAGCGACCAGAAAAAACGACAAAAATAAAGTTTTTGGTCCATTTCATCCCCTAAATATTACCAGATCTTTTCCAAAAACAATAGGGGTCTTTATTGGCCAGAACCCATTCTATATGCAAAATTTCGTGAAGATTGGTCCATAACTGTGGCCTGTATCGTGTTTACAAATTAT